AACACACATTTTCTGTCTCGGTCCAATGCTAGTTATCACCCTTTTGTTGCCACCCATGGGTCCCAGCCAGTCACTACAGTTAAGCAGACCCCTGAATACCATTGAAAGGAGAGCAGGGCAGGATCTGGGAGTACTAAGAGAACCATAAAAAACCAGCACTTCATCGTATTTAATACTAGATTTCTGGGAGGGTTTACCTCTGTGGCATCCCGAACTTACTCCCAGATAAAGAACATATGAAGTGCTCATCATAGAAGGCAGAAAGAGAGATGCCAGTAACCATGGAGCAAAACAGTGCCAAGTCAACTGACCCAATGTCACTCATGCCCAGCGATGTCTAGAAATACTGACTAGGTACTGAATTGCCAAAACACAAAAAGAAAGTAAAAAACCATGAGCCCAAATATCTGGTCAGACCATAGTGAAAAAAAAGGGCAGCAGACAGTGTCACAAACCTGCAGACTTTATAAGCCTGTGGACAGAGAGCAGGCTGGCTAAACTGAACTACTCTGAACACCTGAGACAACCAGTCCTTGGAACAAGACACCAGGGGCATAAGATCAACAAAGCAGTAAGGTAGTGCTGCCTCACTGCTACCAGACAGAGAATACCAGGTTGCCAGAGCAACCACGTTCCAACAAAAGGATCTTCCAGAAACCCACAGTTCCCTTCTTTACTAGATACGGCGAAGGCTGAATATGGGTCCTCCAGAATAAAAACAAAACAAAATCTCAGCTTCCAGAAAAGAACATGAAACTTACCAACCCAACAATCAGAAGAGAGGGCTATAAAATTAAAAAAAAGACAAACTTACAATAAAAACAACATCCTGAACTGATGGAGGAAAGGAGGAGACAAAATAGATGACAAAAGAATTTGACCCAGAGATTATGAAATTGTCAACCACATTACCGTGGACAGTAACATTTCATTTACCAGGGTAATAGGAGCCTCGAACATGCAATCTCCAGCGTGAAAGACAAGCACTCTATCGACTGGGCCACGAGCTATCCACATAAGAAGGCTCTGGAGGAGAATGAACCAGCCAAAGGTTTAAGAAAGCTTCAGACAATGTGCAAAGTGTAAAAGACGAGAAATCGATGGCAAAAGACAACGAGAAGCCCCAGCATAGCCAGAGGATAAGAGGGAGCCACCTACCACCAAAACCTGCCACCTACTCACCAGATAGATGGCAGTACACTCGCCATAGAAATATTTGCGGAGAGTCTCAATAAGCAACATCACTCAAGCTATTCCCCCTGAAAGACATGGCCTCAGAAAAGGTTCAGACACAAAGCCGAAAACCCACAGAAACCTAGGCTGAACAGCCACCAACCAGAAGGCTCACTTTGCTGCAGCAAAACACAGCCAGTGGAAATAACATGCATGCAACAGCAGACTGCCTCACAAGCAAACACTCTTATCACCAAACAGAAGTGAGATGGCAGGGAAGACAACTCCAACAGTAGTAAGGAAGAGATGCCATCTGAGTGGCTCAGAATAGGCCCAATCATACCCAAACCCACAACAGAACCAACCAGGACTTCCATCAGTCTGGGAGCAATCAGGACTACCACCACCAGAATGGGGGGCCTATCAATGCATCCACCCTGCATCCAACAAACTGAAAAAGACCCTGCAAAGAAATGGATCAGACAGAAGAGCCCATCTCCACACAGCCAGCAGAGGGGGGGCTGAAGCCAGCCTTACAAAAGGCCTCATGTTCAGGTAATATTATACTTAGAAAGAAAGAAAGAAGGTGCAGAGGTGATTCTCCACCACACTGACAATGAGGCCAGCCATGAAAAGGCCAATGCAAAGAACCCCAACAAGTAACACCCTGAAGACTATACCTACTGCCCTAGACCCCAGAACCACAAAACTTTCACCTCGACCAGGAGTCTTTAACTTAAAACAGCTGATGTTCAGTGGGGAATAAATGAGCTCTTACAGAACATCTGTTTGCACATTCCCCTTGCATAGTATTTACACACTTTTGCCGGTTTGATTGGTCTCCGCCACTTTTCTGTTTTGTCTATACTGTTTGATCTGTCTATTCCTTTTTGTTTTACTATTATCTTGATCTTTTGTACTAATACTGTCTGGCTGTGTTGTTTCAAAGTCTCCCCTTTCCTGCTTTTCTGATCTCGTACTTCTGTATTGTTTATTACCGCTTATGCTTCTACATCTGTTTCTATTCCCTCATTTGTGACAGCTTCTATTTCTGTGCCAATATTTATTTGCAGTCTACATAAGCAGCTGGGAAATTAAAAAAAAAAGTAATTATAAAAAGAATGTGCCAAGCCAGGGAGACTATGTAGCATCATCAAAGGTGCAGGATATTCACTTATTTATTTATTTATAACGCAAAATTTTCTTTTATTCCCATTTATTCCCCATTATATAAGCTATATCATATATAGTATATATATTATAATATACATTATATATTCCCATTTTATTCACCATTATATAGGCTTATTTATTCCCCACTGAACATCAGCTGTTTTAAGTTACAGATAAAGTTCATAAGGCACTAAACATCACTAAGGATATCAGTACGAGAACAAAATCTCATAAGCTGTATACAAGAAACTGAAACCTATTTTCATATACTGTACATAGCATGTAATGCCCTGTATGAGACTTTTGAAGGCCTTTCTACATCTTTTACAAACCCTGTTTATGGCAAAGAACCAATGCCTGCAGAACAACGAGGCACCAAAATGGAAATACACCAAACACGTGGCTGGTGGTGGCTGGCTGGGACCCCTCAGGCTTTTGGGACTGTCATCTGGTGGTGAGGGAGTGGTGCTAACTAGCAGTTGGAATTAGACAATGAGTGTGCGCACAGTTCCCATCAGGGTTGCATACATTGTCCAAGTACTGTAGTTGCTTGTTACGGTGTGCGAATTACCACCATTTCAGGTGGTAATTCGCTCAGTACTGTGGTGATCTGGTAGGTACTCAAGATTCGTTAGCCTGATGTGGTACCCAAAGTTTGGAAGGTTGCAGGTGGATAGCTAGGGAAGCCTCCGAGGAAAACCCCTCCCAGAAAAAGCACATTTCACCTTTTTGTTATGATGATGGAACACAAAAGTGTAGATTACAACAAATAAAACTTGATTTTTGGTGATATGGATGATAAATAAAAATGTCCCAATTTATAATTGCAAGAAAAAACTGCAGATGAGCAATTTGCAGCAAAAAGAAATAGAGGTCACATCAAGATTCTACAGGGTATCTGAAGTCTGGAGTAACAACATCTGTTTCTTTGGTTTCAGATAATATTCTGAAGCTTCCTATTTAATAGCACCAACAAAATATTACTATAGACATTAAGGACAGAAATAACAAATTTGTTAACTAGTACAGTGGTACCTCGATTAACGAGTTTAATCCGTTACGGCACCGAGCTCGTCATGTGGAAGACTCGTCTTGCGAAACAACAATAAAACTGTCGTCGGAGGTGTCCGAAAACCAGCGGGAACGCTCGTTAATTGAGAGAAAGCTAGTCAGTCGAGACATATTTTCTGCGAGTGGCTTGCTCGTTACTTGAAATGCTCATAACTGGAGCCACTCGTCACTCGAGGTTCCACTGTACAGTGGAACCTCGGGTTACAAATGTCCCTGGTTTACAAATTTTTCGGGTTACGAGTCCGATTTGTTCAGAAAATTTGCATCGGGATACGAGCATTACATCGGGTTATGAGTTTGTTGATACGCGTACAGGCCGACCTAGTGGTATGCAGGCAAAACGTGCCAGAGAGTGCACTCCAGAAAAATTTTTACTGCCTGATGTTATAATGGAAAGGGGACTCCCCTTCCAAACAGTAACACCTCTCCTCCTCCCCCCTCCTCACCATCTTCCATACGCCAACAGGAGTCCTCAGCAAGGGTAAGTAATAACTTGAACATACTTTTGTAGTGTAGATTTGGATGAATTAGGTATAAAATTTAGTTTGAAGTGAAGTTTTTGGGTAGTCAGAAATGGATTAATTCATTTCCCATTATTTCTTATGGGGAAATTAGCTTTAGTTTACGAATTTTCGAGTTACGAGCTGTCTCCAGGAACAGATTAAATTCTTAAACCGAGGTACCCCTGTACAATCAAAATTTTACTTCCAATTTTTCAGACAAATTAGTCTAACAGGCTTGGTATCTTCTTTTGATAATGACTTTATGTACTTCTTCAGACAACCTATAGATACAAATTGAGTGCATCTACTCAAGTCATTACTATGCTCTGTTACACAGTGATGGGTTAATTAACAATACTGACAATTCCAATATGGAATAAATAAATCTGCACAAGACATGAACTTTCAAATGGTATTTACGGCAAGAGACGAGTCCTAATTTGACTTTTTGGATTGACCGGGTTACTATATCCTCAACTTCTCCTTCCACGAGATAATTTTTTCATCACGTATACTACCTTCAAATATTTGATCTATACAACTAATTATTCTATCTGTAATGCATTTTAATTTAAATCTGGCACATGTATACCCAAACTTAAGGGAGGGATTAGGGAAATTAGGGAAAAGAACCTTTAAATATGTTTACAATTCTTCAATGAATGGAATTACATTCTAAAGTTTTATTGAATAAAGTTTCTTTTCTAGCATCCCATGCAAAGCGATGCATACTAAAGCATCTTACTTATTTAAGCATTCCAGTTAATGCCCCATATTCTAGTCTTGAAAACTTGACACCACTACCTAAATCACGGGGTAGGATAATTGACTGTTGTTGCCAATTGTGATGATGTACGTACTGTAAAATGAAATTGGCTCCACTTTTTTAAAACAGGCAAAGATATTATAAAAATTAAAGGTAAAGTAAAACATATGAGTACACCAGAGAAAGAGAGGAAAGTAAAAAATGACTACAGAACAGAAAGCCGCAGCATATGATGGCTGGTGTGAAATCTAAAGCTTGGCTTCAATCAGAATGGATTGCACATTAATACTGTAGGTAAAACGAAAAGAAATATCATTAAGAAAATATTTCTTCAGAAATGTTTTTGCAGATATACAAAACCTAACAATTTGCTAATTATACAATGCATTACATATTTGTTAACATATCATGGATACACATTACTGCCGACACACTCCAATAATACCATACAGCACACTGAAAATAAAAGGTGTTATATATTCAGTGATTTTCTATTAGTAATACATTATTAATTAAGAACACGTTCAGTACATTACAATTAATCAAATCTCAGCATCAATAAATTTGTGAATACAATACATTAAATCACTGAAACTCACCTCAAAAATCAAACTTGCTAAAAAGCCCTTTTCACATGTGCTAATGCATGCACAGTAATCCAAAATTATATAATACATATAATACAGTATATACAATAGAACAAAATCTATAAATTTAAAACTATTACCATGTGTACAGTTCTAAAAGTTGTGCAAGAAACACTGGTAAAAGTTGTCCATTGTCAACTTGATCAAGTGTTGTGAATATACTGATAGCCCTTAATAAATGGTAAGCCAGTTCCTATTTTCTTCTGATAATCAAGGTACTTTTCTCCAAAGAAATTTATAAATGTCACTTCAAAATGAAGCCCTTAATAAATGGTAAGCCAGTTCCTACTTTCTTCTGATAATCAAGGTACTTTTTTCCCCAATGAAATTTATAAATGTCATTTCTTCAAAATAAATCCCTTAATAAATGGTAAGCCAGTTCCTACTTTCTTCTGATAATCAAGGTACTTTTCCCCAAAGAAATTTATAAGTGTCATTTCTTCAAAATGAATCCTATCATTGAAGAAGATCCAAGAAGCCAGTGTATAAGCCACAGCACAAAATGGGTTAACAAGAATAAACTGAGTGCCAACACTCCACCAAAACCATCCTACATAGCTTGGATGCCTGAAGAACCTGTAGGCACCCCATGTGACGAGTTCATGATTTTCTTGTCTCTTTGTTTGAACTATGTGATTGAAATTGGTTTTAGCCGTGAGCATGGCTGATTTCCTTATAATCTCTCCCCAAAGACAGATTATAATTCCAATAACACTAACATACCAAACTTTCTTCATATCTGGGAGCAACCACCTCTCTAGAAAAAATTCTGCCCAACTGGCAACTGCGGCAATGCCATATGCCCAACTGTGGTTCAAGAGGTATGAGTCTAGACTGAGGGTTCTGGGGTTACCAATAGCAGTTGTCAGGTACTCAGAGTAGTGGAAAAATGTTAATACTACCATATACCATCCAAATACATGGTATGATGCCTCACACAAAGCTGTGACAATAATGCCAATACCACACACAGATCCCAAGAAACAGGCTCGCACAGCCACCTGAAAAATGTGATTAGACTATTAGTGATTTACAATAACACCAGTACTGTAATTTAAATATATAAATATAACATTTCACTCTTTAACCCTGATTTTATCAGCTATCCAACAAAGATTTAGGATCATGGTATTTGAACCTGACAAAAATTATACTTCTTTCATAAAGCTATACCCATGGATATACATAATGCAGGTACAGTACTGTATTTCCAAAATCGAGTCCAAGCAGTGTGAAGAGTTCTGTACCTCAGGGCACAGTCAATTCACCACTGTTTTTCCCTATTCTATATATCAAATATAGACAAAAAACAAGCATCTAATGTAATGAAATGCCAATTTGTGGGTGAGCTCTGGTGGTTTTCTGTAGCCACTATCTCTGCTGTAGATGCCATCTGCTAGGTGCTATCAGTCGTGGCGTTCTCTGGCCTACTGGGGATCTAGAGCCAGAACCTGGTCCCCTCACAGAGGTGAAGGGAGCTGTGGCATTTACATACAAAGTTATTATTCATTTATGCCACCACTGGGGAAGGCACCCAGAAAGTCAGCGAGTGAAAACAAACCACAGCTGGCTGCTTTCCAAACCTGCTGGCTCGAAAATGGCCACAGAACTCCCCCAAACTATGTAAACAAACTACTGGAAATGTTACAAAACTAGCGCCCGTTCATTCACCCTCTCGTATGGGGTGAGGAGGGGGCAAGCCATGGCTCACAGCCACTCCATCAGTTGATGAATGATGTAAGAACCCAATTCCTTGGGGTAGGGAGGGTGTTCTGGGTGAGCTCACCAGAGCTCACTCAGAAATTGGCCAATTTATGAGCTCACCTAGAGTTTCATTGCATTCAATGCTTATTTTCTGGGGAGAGCCCCTTGTAGTTCCCTGAAGCAAACTACCCATGGAGAAGGAAGAAAAGAGCACCTACAAGGAAGAAGGGAGCACTGCAGATATCATAGTGAAGACAAGACTATCGACCTAGAAAGCCGACCCAGGGCTACTCGGGCGCTGAGGCCCCGGGAACATTGACCAAATACCAGGGAAGAGCTGGGGCAAACAGGCAAGCATTTAGGGGCTCAAAAGAGAGGCCCCTTTAAAACACCTGAAACATGTTCATAATCTCGCACTACTCAAGAGAGTGGGTCTGGAAAAAACAGTGCCAGAGTTGGAAGGCACCATGGGAATGAACCCCCTAAAAGCCCAAAGAAAAAGCTGGCGAAGAGCAGGTAGTGCCCAAACCTGACGGTTGCAGCAGCAGCAAAATGGGCTGAACTGAAGGAACCAGTATATAGCCCCAAGCCAAACTCAACCCAAAGAGAACATTATGCAGGCAAAATTCAGGCTCCTGCACAGCTATTCGACCAACCCCAGAGTCACCTTGGGCCAATTTAACACCAAACAGAGATGGAGCTGTAAGTAGAGCAAGGCCGAATAAAGCATGAAAAGGGACACTGACCAAGAATCCCAGACCTGCTCACATTTTTGGAAACAGTAACCAGCTATTCAGAAATAGCATGTTACTGTTCAAATATAATTTATTTATATACAGTATTCTTTTTTACCCATAGGGTTATAAACCCATGGAACTGCCTATCCGATGAAGCCATAAATGCCAAAACACTGCTGAATTCTAAAATCTAGCTCTATAAAATCATCAGGACAAAAAGGGAACCTTTGACGAGCTGCCAGCTTCCTGTCCTCGTCAAAACCACTGGTGAGATAGAGGCCCTCAGGAAAATTCAGGTAAACCCTGTAAACCAGGTATGCCAGTGCTGATCTATCAAAACTTAAAATACTAAAGAATTTGGAGGGTGCTGATCCAGTCCACTTCTTTTAAAAGGATAGATGTAATACAAGCAAGGAGCAATGGTTTTAAGCTCAACAAGCCGCAATGTAAAACAGAAAACAGGAGATGCTTTTTCAACTGTAACGTTATAAACTCAGGAACTGCCTACCAAAGCAGTAAATGGCAAAACACTGCCGAATTTCAAAATCCAGCTTGTTAAAATCATCAGGATAAATGGGAGGATCTTTGACAAGCCACCTATTTCCTGACCTTCTCGAGGCCACTAAAGATATAGTGGCCCTGAGGTAAATTAGGTAAATCTTCTGGTGACTCTCAGTGGAACAACAGCCAGACATCCATTATATCCAGAGGTCATACCATGAGTCTCTAAACATGTCTAGTCTCAGACATCTATCCAAGGAGCACATTAAGAAAGGGTATGATTTGATTAGCAAATTTTAGATCTAGGCCATGCACAGATACTCAAAAATTATCAAACACTACACAGATGATTTCCTCCACAGTCCCACAGGTGCACCTAGAAATGCAGTTGTCCTGACAATGGGTGATGGCTAATATGTTGAGTAGGGAGTCTGTATAAACAACCTTTCAGATCAAACTATTTGCCTTACTTCTTATACTAAACTGAGTACAATTCTCCAAACTTGACACATTAACTGTAAGTGATTATTATCCATAACTGTGCTCAACTTTTTAAGACATAACTGCAACATGCTCGTGACTGAAGCTAGACACAAATACAAAAAAATTATTAATGATGGTAACAGTCCATTTCATGTGATTCCATCACATGTTGACCTCCAAATGTATGATAAGAGCTGATGATTTAGCCAAAGAATTTGCTTTGAAAGGAGTTGCTAATAACCTTGGATTGTCAATATGCAATCTGAGAACAATAGTACACCGAGAACTTAAACAAAAATCTGAGTAGATCTGAGGCAAAGTGAAATCAACACCAGTAATTCCATCTATCATCATACTATCATGCAAGAAGAGCCACGCATCTATGGATCATCCAATAAAATTAGCAGACTTCTAGATGTTACTACTGCTTGGCTTAGACTTGGCTGTAAGTATCTCTAAGAATTGTCATTACCTCCTGATGTAGACCTGTACCCTCCATCACTATGTGATGGATTGAATGATGTGTGAATTTGGAGGCAACTCTTTAACAAATGTTCAAGAAATTGAATTTTTCATTCAAAATGAGCTACCCGAAATTTTAGCCAAATATCCCCAGTTGGTTAACTAGGTAGTAACTAAGTGACTGTAACCTATCCACCGCTGCCCACTGGATGGGGGGTGATGGCGGTGTGCAGGACAAACATATCAATTGTGACTCTAGCTCTTCACATATGTCAGTTGCTTAATTTAGAAACTGTACTTGAGGTCGGTCTCGAATCCATTATTGATGTAACAATATACATTAAACTTTGTAACTAGGACATCAAGACTGTAACTTGCTTATCTAAATCAAGTTAGGTGGTCAGTTCTTGATCCTACTATGTGCCTCTGTAACCCTTTCCACTACCACCCACAGGATGGGTGTGGGGTGCATAATAGCTGAACTAAACCACCTAAAACAAATAATTGACAATTTAACTGCATTGTAATACCAGTCTACTTGTGTGAAAGCAGTTTATGCTCACCTGCCATTCAGCTCCACGGAAGATAAGGACTATGAAGATATTAACGAGGAGGTAGAACCCCCCACAGTAGGCCCAGGGCCGCTGCCACAACCACTCCACTACCTCTCCCACGCCTGGCCACCTGCTCCCACACGCTAGTATGAAGTAACTCAAGATGCCCAGGCCTAACAAGAAGCTCTGGAGGCTTATTTGAGCTTGGCGGATCATCTCGGAGGAAATAATGATCCTCAGACGGATCCAGAGATGGAGTTACGCAGACATCCAGTATATTGTGGAGATGAAGGGCAGCGCCGGTCCAAATTTGGAGAAGACTGTGCGAGTATATTCCCTTGATGGTGGAATATAGCAGTCAGCGGAAGTCACAGCTCACAAGCATCGTTGTAGTCAGCAGATAAGGGTATACGAATTAGTACAGTAACGTGAGTCAGCAGCAGACCTTGGCACAGCTTATCTGCGTCGATGTAGACGTGTAGAGGCTACGAAGCTAAATGTGTATTGTAGAACGGCATAACGTCTGTCTTCAAGACGTGCTCCATCAAGAAGGATAAGAAGCTTGAGGTGTGGAATATTAAGATTAAGCTGGTTGCTGCTGCCACTTCTTCTTCTTGTTGATAGTAGGTGCAGTTTGCATGAAGGGTTTGTCCTCCCGATGACTGCACCAGTACTGATGTTGTTGGACGCTTTTATGTTGAAGACGATCGGAGCTACCAAGGTGCTTGTTGCTTTGTGCTGTAGATAGAGGAACGGTGATTAAAACAGAGGTGTGTGTTAGAGGGAGACTTGCCGCACCGTAGGGCGGTGTGTTGTGTTTATGGCGTCAGCTGATCCTTGGTGTTGCGACGAGGTAGTTGTTTTCTGTGTTTAGCTGTTGGTGGCGCCAGGTATAAATGTGGCGCGGGTCAGATGTGACCCAATTTGTTGGTCGATTGGAGATATTTAGCCAGTGCTCTGACTATTTGGTATTTTTCTTGTGACGAGTGGTCACCGCCTCCTAATATATGCTCGATGGTAAAGGGTATTTTAAGTGCGATAAAGACTTGTTTGAAATTTACTCTGGCACTATAATGTCGGAAGCAGTGCAGGAGATAGTGTTCGACTGTTTCAGGCACCTGACAGTTAGTACAGAGTTCGTTGATGTCTGTTCTGTACTTAGAGCTGTGTGCTGCTAGTTTGGTGTGTCCCAGCCTTAATCTGGTCATCGTTACATCAATTTCTCTGCTTTTATATCGGACATGTTTCCAAGTTTCCCATTTCTTTTTAATGGACCCATAGTGCAAAGGTGAGCATAACGTTTTCCAGTTTGTTGCAAAATCCTGGGAGATGGTATCTTTGAAGGCTCCTTTACGTGCAACATGGGGAATTGGATGACGGGTGAGGTGAGGCGTGTCGTGCATTGCTTTGGCTAGTTGGTCTACCAGTTCATTATGGAGAATACCACAATGTGCTGGGACCCATTGGATAGAGGTGTCATAACCGTTCAATTGATGTTTGTGAAGAAGTTGAAGGCATGGGTAGACAATCTCCTTGCATGTTTTCGAAGAGTACGAAATTGCTTGAATCGCGCTCTTGGAGTCACTACAGATTGTATATATCCCAACTGGTAATGTTGTGATGATTTGGAGAGCTTGATACAAGGCATATAATTCCGCTGTGAAAATAGATAGTTGGTTTGGTAACCGCCATCCCTGCTTGAGATGGTATTCCGGTATCCATACAGCGCAAGTGACCGAGGGTACGTTGTTCGTGAAGATGCGAGACCCATCTGTGTAAATCTCTGTGGTATTTGGGTAGCAATTTTTCATTGTTGAGACAAAGACTGAGGCTATGGCTGAGTTTGGTGCAGATTTTGGAATGTTGTCCTCGAGTTGTATTGCTGTATTAGGAGTTGTATAAAGCCAAGGTGGAATGGGGGGAACAGGAGGTTGGGTTTCACAGTTTTGAAGTAGGGAGAGGTCTATATTGAGGTTATTTGTAGCCCGTGTGAGGAAAGGTTGCGAGTGAATGGTTGGGGAGCGGGGGTTATATGGGTTAACTGTTGGGTTAATTTTTGATCTGTATGGGTGTGTCTGGTGAGCAGTGGTGCAGAGTGACAGATAGTTGGCACACATAATGTCTCGTCTGGTGGTTAGGCTTGTGAGGCCTGTTTCCCCGTAAAGTCCGAGGATTGGAGTTGAACGCATTGCGCCACATATAAGTCGCATGGCATTATTTTGTATGACCTCGAGGCTCTGTAGGTTAGTGGGCGCCGCCGACGCATATGCCTGGCAACAATAGTCTAGTTGGCTGCGAATGTAGGTTGTATAGAAACGGAGCAAGATTTTATGGTGTGCTCCCCAGGTGGTGGCTGCTGCCACAAAGGCTTTGTTTACATGGTCTCGCTGCCGGCCACAGTTGCCAGCTCTCAGCGGCTGACGGCACCCACCTGAAGGACTAAATGTACCGATTTTGTGATAAAAGTTGCCCAATATTTTTGTACCGATTGATACGCTGTTTAGAGTAATTTATTTTAATATACAATGTACATTACACGATATTAATGATTATATTAATATTATTACTTTATTTTTAATAAAAAAACGTGATATTAGGATAACTCGGCAGTACTTTAATTTACCCGACTGCCTCTATTTCTCTAAATTTACCTGAATTTACCAAAGGGGCACTATTGTTCAAGTGGCCTCGACGAGGACAGGAAGCAGACGGCTTGTCAAAGATCCCCCATTTGTCTTGATGATTTTGTCAAGCTGGATTTTAATATTCAGCTGTGTTTTGGTATTTACAGGTTCCGCGGGTAGGCCGTTCCATTGGTTCAATTCGTTGTACTCACCTAGTTGTGATTGCGAGGGTTGAGCTTCGGCTCTTTGGTCCCGCCTCTCAACTGCCAATCAACTGCCCGAAACGCTGCGCGTACTAGTGGCTTTACAAGAGTGCAATTACTGTACTATGCTATGTATTCTCACAAACCCAATGTACCTTCTTGTATATAAATTAAATAAATAAATAAACTGGTGTACAGATTCCTGAGCCTATTGGGCTCTATCATATCTATAATATGACGCATTGAAAACTGCAGGCAATACTAATACCTTGGTGTGAATATTAAGTGACTGTAAATGAACTACAGTTGAAGCTTAAAGAAAGGCTAAGTCTTCTTAAAATGCTTGCTGGAAAGCATTTTAAATAAAATGTTATGTATTATTATGTAAATAAAATGTATTAAGTTCTAGATATTAATGTTTTTCTTGCCCGAAACGCATTGCGTAATAGTGGCTTTAGGCATTGTATGTACTAGCTCTATCTTTATATCAATCCATTAATGTAACATCACTTGTATGTATGTACCTTACCTGAATAAACATATTTATATTTATTTATTTATTTAAAAGCACATTGGATTACGAGCTCACCATAATGAGCCCGTGCTACATGGACATTGCGTTCTGAGTAGGTAAATCTAAAACAACAACAACAAGCACATCGGTATTAATGTCAAATATGCCAGAATGTTCTACTTGATGTTCATCAGGTCACTAGTCGACTACCATGCCCTGCACCTTATTAATCACTCTAGCAGTAGGCTGAAAGCTTTATAGAAAATCCAAACGCTTCTTCGTCTCAATGCTACGGGCTGCTACGATTCTTCGTGCGGGTCGTATTCCAGGGACCTGCCCGAAACGCTACGCGTACTAGTGGTTGTACAAGAATGTAACAACTCTTGTATATATCTCAAAAACAAATTTCAAAATGAAGCCATGAGGATAATTCTTGGAGCCTTCAGGTGCACAAGAATCAAAAACATGAGGGAGGAGCTGAAACTCCCAACCATATGTGAAAGAATTGAGCAGCTCAATACTACCTTCTGTGTAAGGGTTAAGAGAGCTCCAACGTCACCCTTACTACTTAGAGAAAAACTGACTAGTGCTGTCTGTAGGCGGGAGAGTGTTGCCAACGTACCAGCGGGCAACCTATATGCAAGCTGGTTGAGTATAAGTGTTGCCAATCTCATTAAACTAAGTATTCCTATTGTATGCAAAGTACTAGCCAATGATATTCCATTATATCTGTACCCTGAAATACAAGTATCTTACACGCCCATCAGCAAAAAGAGCAAGGAAAACCCAGCACTCCTAAAAGCAACAACACTTGAAACAACTGATTCCAGCATAAATAACACGGCCTCACGAGTACTATTTATTTATTTATATACAAGACTTACGATGATGGGTCTGTTCAAATGTCAACAGGTCGCACTGCAGCAGCCTGTAGAATATACAAAGACAACATATGTACACAGACCACAGGTGTGAGACTCGATAACTGGTTTAGCTCCACACATGCAGCATTAGCTGCACTGCAACTTGTCACTAACGCACTGAAGAACAGTGGAGGAGTAATTTTCTGTGATTCAAAGTCAGCTCTTCAGGCCCTTAAAAACCCAACATGCAAAATAGACACTAGGAATGTTGTAACATCCATTATAAACAACATTATTAATGCAAAGAGCAAGAGTTTCAGAGTCTCATTTGTATGGATACCATCTCACATAGGTGTTGTCCAGCATGATGACACAGACAAGGCAGCTAAAACTGCATGTGATAAGCCTGAAATTGAGTTGGATATGGGCATTCCAATCTCTGCTGTAAAAGCCGCAATATTTCAGGAAATTAGGGAAGACAGAAGAGCAGTTACTGACACACAAAGGCCAGAAAGCACGAGTATAAAGAGCTATGACATGTTTAGAACCGAGAATTATATGTACGGGCAGCATAAAACATCCACTAGACAGTGTGACATTGTAATTGCCAGAATTAGGCTGGGATATCGATATCTATGGCAGGTGGCTGCAGGTAATGAATCCCCCCAATGGTGAACATTCCAATTGTAAACTATGTGAACAAGAGCTGGGACATACTCTCCAACACTATATCTGTGATTGCCCTGTTATAAGTGACTTCAGACCAAATGGTATGAGGTACTTTGAGCTCTGTAATTACTTCATACACTCAGGAATATTGGAAGATATTCTTGTGCTGTACCCAGATTTTGCTAGTGGAGGCTAATAGATCAGCCTTACATTTCATGTTCTCTCCTGATTTTTAGTCAGAGTTGATTTGTTTTTGTATTGAGGCTGGTATTTTCTCCCCTGATTCCATGTATGACTAACCATCCTGTGAGATGGGAATATTAGATGAACTTATAGCTAGTTTTTGATCTACACTGTGTAATCTTTCATATAGAATAGGGTAGCAGCACATTGCTGTGTATACCTAACCTTGTGTAGTTTCCGGGGATCAATATGGCCCCGCGGCCCGGTCTATGACCAGGCTTCTTGCCTAGTCGGTTCCTGTGGATTTCCTTCTTTTAATAATTTCTATCTTAATTGAAAAGTGCTCACGCCATCATGTCTCACGGTTGCTGGAGGCAACTGAGCCACCAGCAGGGTATTGATTGATGCAAGTAGCAAGCTGAATTAATAATAATAATAATAATAATAATTTATTCAGGAAAAGTACATACATAGTTGCAGAGTTACAGTACAAACATTCTGTTTGATTTAAAGGTAGAGGTAGTACATACAATACCTAAAGCCACTAGTACGCATAGCGTTTCGGGCAAAGGATTTAGGTCTGAACGTTGAGAATTTGTAGCTAAAGTAGTCCAATATTTTATTTAGCAACTGATACGGGTTTCAAAGTATATATTTTAATACACAGAAATACACTACAGTTAAGCGTAGTAGGGAAAAATGTGACTAGCACCGTCCCCTTCCATCGGCAAAGATGGATGAATGTTGGATGAACGAGATCAATTAGCACCCTTAATCTGAAATCGCGGTAGCATATTCCAGTCAGAAATCTCTTGTCACTGGAAGTGTTCGTGCGGGGGTCAACTAAAATTTTTATTAGAGACTCTAGCTCTCGGACCCCGTCTTACTAGTTTTAAACCATCGTATCTTGCACATTTTACATAGTAAAGTCCTATTCATTCCAGTGTATTGATTCGTGGTTATATGTTTTGGGAAAACGTATATGGTGTTTTTACTCCCTAGTCACAGGACCACGAGTTTCACTAACAGGGATCAATGACCACAGCGGCCCAGTGTCGAGTGGATGAGTTCCACTTAGATGTATTGGGCTATACACCCGCCGTCGTCGAGTGCGGATGAGTGTGGTTGACCTTCAACCCTCACCCCTAAGCCTAACTATACATATCTCATTCAAATTCCTGACATTCTCCTTACCATTCATTCTTTTCCTGGGTTGATGACCATCCATCCTTGATTGGTTTGCATAATTCCTGTTTTTTTAAGGCTTTGTAGAAGAGCTATCTAGTTAATGCAGCATTGGTGTCCCTGTGCTCCTAAGGACCTTAATAATATAACAATGGCAGTGAGCTTTACTTTTGATTTTATTTATTTATGTATGTAAATCAGGAAAGTTAACACATTATTTATTTATATATACAAGAATTCTTGCATTCTTGTACAGCCACTAGCACGCATAGCGTTTCGGGCAGGTCCTTAAACCCAATTTTCACACGCACATACCCACAGGAAGCAGCCCGTAACAGCTGTCTAACATCCAGGTACCTGTTTACTGCTAGGTGAACAGGCGCATCAGGGGGTGAAAGAAACTCTGCCCATTTGTTTCCGCCTACACTGGGGATCGATCCCGGAACCTTCGGACTAATGCGAATCCCGAGCGCTGACCACTCAGCTGTCAGGGCCCCTAAAGTATAATTTATTGATATTATCTACAATTATAATACTGTATGCCAATTGTGACGATAATCTCTTTCAAGAGAGATTGAGCCTGCTCTTCCCTCCAAAGTACGTCACATTAACAAATAATATAGAAGATATATCCAACAAGTATCACCAAAACGTTTTGCCCAGAGAGCAAAACGTATCCAGCCCACCGGCGCACCTGCTCGCCTCCGCCACCGTTAACCGGCAAACTGCTTGTCCATCGCCTGCCTGTCGCTGATTGGCTGGTGCCCGTCGCACCTGCCCCACCACCCTCCTCCACAAGTTGATGTCTGAGCTACAGCGACCTAGGGAAGGCAGAATATATCAGTGCTCCACACAGTTGACACGTCTCATTGGTAGACTAAGCCTTGGGTTACGTGTACTAAAGGAGGTGGCAGCTTGAAGCCAATATTCCTGCACTACTATTTCCTTTGCTATTATTCACTTGTCTTAACGTAACTTTTCATTTGCCAGTGATTATTCTTATTATTTTGTTTGTTGATTTGTCTGTTACATTTTTATACTCAATTTTATTCATGTATAATAATAATAATAATAATAATTTTTATTTAGGCAAAGGTACATACACAAAGAGATTTTACAAAGTTTGTTGGCTTTATAGATAAGAGCTAGTACATACAATGCCTAAAGCCACTATTACGCAAAGCGTTTCGGGCAGGAAAAAACACTACTGACTAAAGCTTAAAACTAATGGGTAAAAAGAAAAAAATGCGTTGAGTACAAATAAAAATAGAGGTAAAAGAGGGGGGAACATTGTTGAAAAACAGCACAAATACAATTACAAATTATTACAGAAAATTACATTAAAACAGCGTTGATTTGTAAAACAAAAAAAATCAAATCAAAAACCACCTTTCACCCTGATGCCCCTGTTCACCTAGAAGTAAATAGGTGTATGGGAGTTAGACATGGAGCGAGTATATTATTGGGATAATCTACTCACTACAGACTGCTTGTCTTGTGTGTAATGATCATGAATGGATGGTGGCAGCATTTCTTCTTCTACTATCTACTCTTCTACTTCTACTATCTACTCTTCTACTTCTACCTATCTACACCTCTCCCTCCACCCTTCTCTAAACTCTCACTTTCAACTAATGACCCTTCTCGCTCCTCCCACCTCTCTGCCTCTCACCCCAAACCCTCACTAATTACTTCACTATTCATTTCTTTCCTTTCGTTTTCACTTATACGTATGTAGGCAATGATTCTGTATTCTAGAGTTCTCTCTAGAGTTTCGGGTAGCTGATCAAGTTACGGCGCCTTGTAGTCTTAGCACCTAGGTAGTCAAATACCTAGGTTACGAGGTGTTGAACGAGAGAGGTTGCCTTAGGAACTCTGGGAGTGCTCTAGAATAGTTAGCTAACTGGGGACGGGATAACGGACAAGAGAGAGCTGTTTCCCCCGGCCTCGTTAGTTAACTGGGGGGTGGAATAATGGACAAGATAGAGCTATTTCCCCTACCCCCCGTTACAATGTTGGCAGCGGTGTTGAACAATGTTGTAGGTAGTTGGTGTTCTTTTAACATTGTTCAGTCCCACGTGTCTTTTTGCCGCTCAGGCGCTATCAGGGAGATCTTGACAGGTGTTTATTATTCGCGATTTAGCGAGCTTTTTTCAGGTTAGGAGATGATGATTCTCTGGTGTTGTGTTTAGTGATTTTGTGAGTTTGTGTAGTTCAGGGAATGTTCACCAGAACTTGCGTGTGTAGTGATTTATGTTAGTAATAAGATTTGGTGATTTGGGAACTTAGCGGTGTTGGTAGTGCAGGTCAGCTGAGTGTGACAGGTGACCTCGCATGTCCCACGGGGACACCCAGCCACCGCTGGTCTCCAGGTCAGTTGGGGAGTGGCAGGTGTAGTTCTTAAGTAGAATTTAGTGGTGGTTCTGCTCAGATTATTGCGATCGACTGTTTTACTCCATTTGAACGCAATAACCCGAGGTGTACTGGTATTGTACAGCATGCTAGGGGGAGGCTTAGTATGTCAGTAGACTTCACGTTGGGGACGCTCGACGTTAGATAGTCTGGTCACAGGGGTGGCAACAGTTTGGAGTTGTTTACCGGCGGAGAAGCTAGGGAAACACTCTGGGTCACGTAGGTGGCTGTAGGTTAAGGGTGGGAGTAATGGTTAATTATGTACTTAAGATTAGGAACGGTACAGTTAAGTTTAGGCTAGTGTTTGTCTATTAGTATTGATTTTTTTGTGACAAGTTAAAGGTAGTGATGACCTTATTCTCTCTTCTCTAACTTTCCTCTGTTACTGTCTTATGTTCCACCAAGTCAATATCATTCAGTGTTAATTGGATTATTTTAAAAATTTAAGTGTAGTTGTTGCCAGGAGGAGAGCGGTATGACTGGACTGTGTAACCCTATACAAACTACAGGGTCACATAACATATCTTGGGAGCACGATATTGTCGCCTTTCTGTTCACCCACAGGTGGGAGCCAGAAGAGAGGAGAGACGCACATACAAAAGAGGGAGACGGCTGCTGTGTACCACACTCACGGGCGTTAATCACCACCACCACGACCAGCCCACTACTTGGAGGTCACGGCTCCACCACCATCACCACCCCAGGGGACCCCAAGACGGACGGACCCCAGCGGACCCCAAGACGGACGGACCCCCAGTGGACCCCAGGTCGTTCTGCAGACGACCCCAGACGACCCAGTAAAGATGGAAGAGGAGCAACAACGACTCCAGTCTGTCCCACCAACATCGGTCTACCCAGGATGGACCCCAGGACGGACGGACCCCAATGGACCCCAGGTCGCTTGTCTAAGACCCATGAGAAGAAAGAAGAGAGAAGAAAGAAGAAAGAAGAAAGAAGAGAGAAGAAATAGAGAGAAGAAAGAAGAGAAGATAAGACAAGCTGAGTGAGACATGATACCTAGTGTCCCTTGCTGGTGTCAGCATCATTGCATGGAGCGTAATTGCAAGACAGGATCGTTTGCCTTGACTGGCCGCCCCTCCTGCAAGCAGGTAGCTCTGTTGAGTGATTCTTCCTGTGTCATGCAGACTTGATGTGGCTGTCAGAAGTAGCTCTCTGAAGGAGGCGTGCTGGAGCAACAGGGAGGAAGAAGAGTAGGATGGGATTTCTACTGTTGGCAACTATATGAAGGTCTCGAAACTTGTAGTCCCTATAGCTGTGAAGAACCCCAATATACGTCTCTCATGGTGACTGACGTAGGGCCAATTACAGATCAGCTGGGACAACCGAATTCCACGGTCCTGTGCGCAGTTCAAGTAGTAACGGCTTTCGGGTTGACCAAGTGTTGTGCGTTAACGACGGAGAAGCGACGGAGGCAGTTGTGTTGAAGAAATGTGGTACAGGATTATCTACAAGACCAAGCAGTGACGTCGCCCAGCCAGAGACAATGGACGTCTGTCTACATATTTCATTTTTTAGAGTAGGATGATGTATATTTGTTTAGCTAGGATGTATTCTTTTCGTTAATAAAGTTGTCGCACACAGCTAGCTTGCTTTAGCAGTGTTGCGAAAACTTTATTTTCGGGGAGAAGGGGAGATGTAACACTGTAAAAGTGTTTGGTTTAGGTTAATACATACATAGAGTACATGAGTCACAGACAAGGATCGGAGAGGCGCCAGTTGTCTGCCTGAGATCTCACACCTCAAAGCGTTAATGACCCCAAGTGACCTGAGGTCAGATCATGATAATTTCACCTTGCTTCCGCTAAGCGTATAATTGGAGCCGGGTAGCCTTCAAACATGCCGACGTTTAAGGAGTGGCTTGGTAGTGCCGGAGGCTATCTACTTGTGGGCGGAGTTAGCTACTAGGTTCCCCAATATAAACTCGGAGAGCTATCCAGCATAGAGCATTAACAGACAGAACGGGAGTCAGCAGAAGCAGAGAAGACAGCCCTACCAGGGAGGCTGTCGGCCGGCAGGGCGGGAGTCTCTGTCAACTACAGACCCCCCCCCCCTGCTATGGGTTACTTCATGGGGATGTGTGCGTGCCTGTGTGTAGATATATCTATGTATGTAGTAGATGTAGTGGAAAAATAGATTGGTAAGAAAGGTAAAGAGCAAATAGCTAGATTCTGCAAGCACAAATAATAAACACAGATAACAGAGCGGAAAATCTGTTATAAACAAAATCTCTCGATTATGTTTTCGTTGTACGCGTGACACTATTGTTTTTTATATTATTCAAACATTTTCACCTCCCCTCAAAATAAGGATGTAACTTTTGTTATAAAAAAGCAAAGATGATGCTTAGTCACATCTGAACCTGACAATAAAACACCACCCGGCAAGCCTACACCACCCGGCAAGCCTACACCACCAGGCAAGCCTACACCACCAGGCAAGCCTACACCACCCGGCAAGCCTACACCACCAGGCAAGCCTACACCACCCGGCAAGCCTACACCACCCGGCAAGCCTACACCACCCGGCAAGCCTACACCACCAGGCAAGCCTACACCACCCGGCAAGCCTACACCACCCGGCAAGCCTACACCACCCGGCAAGCCTACACCACCAGGCAAGCCTACACCACCCGGCAAGCCTACACCACCCGGCAAGCCTACACCACCCGGCAAGCCTACACCACCCGGCAAGCCTACACCACCAGGCAAGCCTACACCACCCGGCAAGCCTACACCACCCGGCAAGCCTACACCACCAGGCAAGCCTACACCACCCGGCAAGCCTACACCACCAGGCAAGCCTACACCACCCGGCAAGCCTACACCACCCGGCAAGCCTACACCACCCGGCAAGCCTACACCACCAGGCAAGCCTACACCACCCGGCAAGCCTACACCACCAGGCAAGCCTACACCACCAGGCAAGCCTACACCACCCGGCAAGCCTACACCACCCGGCAAGCCTACACCACCCGGCAAGCCTACACCACCAGGCAAGCCTGGTAGTGTAGGCTTGCCTTGTGGTGTTTTATTGTCAGGTTCAGATGTGACTAAGCATCTGCTTTGCTTTTTTATAACAAAAGTTACATTCTTATTTTAAGGGGAGGTGAAAGTGTTTGAATAATATAAAAACAATTAGCCACCAGGCAAGCCTGCACAGAAAGTCTGTTATGAGAGAGGTGCAGCCATGCCAGCCGCTTAAGAACTCTGCCAAATAGAAAATTAAGTCTTGAACAAGACACATGGACAATTTTTTAAGTATGGCTTTACCAATTGTGAAAAAAAGAAATATACAAAGTAAAAGTGCTTAATTTGTAATAAATTTCTTGTAAATAAAAACCTAAAATCTTCAAAGCAAAAAGGCATATACAAATAAAACACAAACACGTTGACTAACCAGTTTATTAATAAATTTCAAAGCAGGATCCTTGAATTAAATTTATAATCACAACTTTTGTATTAAATTACAAACTCTTAAAGCACAGCTAGTATCACATTTAATCGCAAATTACACCGAAAAAAACTATCCAACGCAGTGGAAAACTTCACACATTGATTTTGAACATAGTCAATATCAATCATGATAATAGATTTGCAGGAAGTTGAAAAACGAAACTTCTCAGTGATGCCACAGTGTAGTGTAGGACGTATATTATTGCTGAGGAGTTAGAATACAAGCTGGTTAACACGTATTAAGGTAAAACGCTGGGTAAACGGTTCCTTTTGAGACGCCGATAACTACCATAGAGTGGAACAAGAAGATTAGCTGCTCTCACACATGAGAAAACATTATTAATCAGGCACAAAATTCTGACATTGGCACTATAGCCTGAGTGATAACCTGCAACAGCCTTGAGAGCTCGGAGCCTCTCTTTATACTGACGATAGAGTCTGAATACAACAGGACCATACAGTGGCACCTCAAGGCCAAGGTATTTGAATCTGTTTACATAATCAAGCTGGGAGCCATCACAAATCAACAACTTTGTCACCATTTTGAATAAATGTTTAAGATGAATATACATTCTCAAGTAAGATGGACGTTTTGTAGTTGGTTGCTTACGCGACAAGCTACATGTGTGAAGTTGTGCCTGCCAGAAACGCTGCGCGTACTAGTGAAAAAGACACTACTACGGGCTCACCATAGCCCGTGCTACTTGGAACTTTTTGTTCCAGATAGCGAATCTTTATGAACAACAACAACAGCGTCCTAGTGGCTTTACCAGAATGTACTCACCTAATTGTGCTTGCGGGGGTTGAGTTCTGGCTCTTTGGTCCCGCTTCTCAACTGTCAATGTAAACACCATGCTGTGTATCCTCACAAACCCAGTGTACCTTCTTGTATATAAATAAATAAATAAATATATAAAATTGTATATACCTTTCGGACAAGGTTAAAAAATAAAGGGAACAGCCAACAGTTCAGCCAAAATTCGTGTCACGCTGTCATCGTCCTGACAGGTTGTGACAGTAATTAATCTGTCAGGCTCTACGCTTAGAAGTACAGTGGACACTGGTTCTAAGATTAGAAGTAGTGAACACTGGCCCTAAGATCAGTAGTGGATACCGGATCTAAAGATGGTAGAAGTAGCTGAGACAACATGATCTAAGATGACTGCAGTAGCGGAGACAGGCTGACGGGTGTAGTGGTGACGGGGGGGCTGGAGGGAGGACCGTCGGGCGTCTAGCAGCTACAAGGTTCAGGGAGCGACCCGGGGAAACCACAGCCTTGTAGACTCAGGAAGAAATTGGTTCCTATCCCACATGGCATGTCGTACACCGTCCCAACAGAACACTGGAGAAACCTGCCAGGAAGGATAACCTCTCATATTTTGCTTCGTTATCAAGGTTTCATTGGTAAATAACCTCGTTCCAATGGTCGTGTCCTAGAGGAAACAGAGAGAGGGGGAATGGGGAGAAGAGGGGAGAGAACTCTTCATCAGAGTTCTGGAAACAAGTCATAGAAAGATTTTTTTTGTCTCATCAGGTTATATCATTAAACCTTGAAGAGGTTTAAGGTGTAACAAAACCTTTTAGAAGTTGAATAAAACTGTTTTCCAGAAAAAAACTTACGACATCCACGAGTCTTGTTCTTTGAATTGTGAGATCTATACATGCCTCCATTTATGTTAATTAGTACTCTAATATACCTACCTGTGTATGGTCAAATAGTGCTCTAATTGACCTACCTCCGTGTATGTTAAACTGTACTCTAATACACTTGCTCAATGTAGTCAACTTGTACTCTAATATGCTATACATCCGTGTATGGTCAAGCAGTGCTCTAATATACCAGCCTCTAAGTATGATCAGGATCTACTCTAATAGAACTACCTCCATGTATGCTAAACTGTACTTTAATACACATGCCTCCATGTATGATCAAGCAGTACTCTAATATACGTGGCTCAATATATAGTTAAGCACTGATCTGATCTGATACACCTCTGATCTCTCTCTATATTCCATGAGAATATACATCAGCTAGATGGGGCTTAGTATGGCAAGTAGACAATGTACAACCGCAAGATGGGGCTTAGTATGGCAAGTAGACAATGTACATCAGCAAGATGGGGCTTAGTATGACAAGTAGACAATGTACATCAGCAAGATGGGGCTTAGTATGGCAAGTAGACAATGTACATCAGCAAGATGGGGCTTAGTATGGCAAGTAGACAATGTACATCAGCAAGATGGGGCTTAGTATGGCAAGTAGACAATGTACATCAGCAAGATGGGGCTTAGTATGGCAAGTAGACAATGTACATCAGCAAGATGGGGCTTAATATGGCAAGTAGACAATGTACAACAGAGGTAGATGACGTAGTGGGTGACTTACCTTGAACAGTTAGTCGGGTGGAGGTACATCTTTCCGTTGTCGCTGGTCGCGCACGGCGCTGTGGTCAGCGTGTAGCAGGTGGCTGGCCACGTTAATACAGAATGATATTAGCGTTTCATTACGTACATGTCGAATGAAAGAAAATATTAGTACATGTTCAACATGATATATCAGATTGGATGTAGTTTTATTAGCAGTTCAGTGATCTGCTGAACTAAAGACTGGGATTTCCGTCCCCCAGTCTTTATCTACGGTCTTGAAGAAGCTAATGTGTAGCACATCAACGGGAGATTCTTTACCTGTGCAGCTGGTTTCGGTTTCAAGGAAAGTGAGGTGGTTTGTTTGACAACATTTTCACAGATCCATGTTAACTAAACTGAGTGATATTTGACAGTCGTCAATAGTGCCCCCTTAAGGTTCTTTGAAGAAGCTTGTGGACAAGAGAGACAAACTTGAGTGGTTAGGTCAAGTGTTCAGCTGTATTTCTCGCTTCGTAATCACTGTGACACGGCCTGGCACTGAGCGCATGACTTATTTTGTAAAATACGTGGCATTAATTAGTAAGCATTACGCAAGGTTATGATTTCGAAACATGTATTTTTTTTCTTAAATTTTTTACCTATTCTGCCACCCTCCCTGGGGACTCCCCTGTGGTGCCAACCATCCTGGGGAGTCTACCACCATCGCTGGGGACTCACCTGTGGTGCCAACCATCCTGGAGAGTCTACAACCATCGCTGGAGACTCACCTGTGGTGCCAACCATCCTGGAGAGTCTACCACCATCCCTGGGGACTCCCCTGTGGTGCCAGCCATCCTGGGGAGTCTACCACCATCGCTGGGGACTCACCTGTGGTGCCAACCATCTTGTGGGTCTACCACCATCGCTGGGGACTCACCTGTGGTGCCAACCATCCTGGAGAAGTCTACCACCATTGCTGGGGACTCACCTGTGGTGCCAACCATCCTGGAGAGTCTACCACCATTGCTGGGGACTCACCTGTGGTGCCAACCATCCTGGAGAAGTCTACCACCATTGCTGGGGACTCACCTGTGGTGCCAACCATCCTGGAGAAGTCTACCACCATTGCTGGGGACTCACCTGTGGTGCCAACCATCCTGGAGAGTCTACCACCATTGCTGGGGACTCACCTGTGGTGCCAACCATCCTGGAGAGTCTACCACCATTGCTGGGGACTCACCTGTGGTGCCAATCATCCTGGAGAGTCTACCACCATCGCTGGGGACTCACCTGTGGTGCCAACCATCCTGGAGAGTCTACCACCATTGCTGGGGACTCACCTGTGGTGCCAATAATCCTGGAGAGTCTACCACCATCGCTGGGGACTCACCTGTGGTGCCAACCATCCTGGGGGGGTCTACCACCATCCCTGGGGACTCACCTGTGGTGCTGTTACTGGTGCTGTTACTGCCCGCGGCCGCCGTAGGTGGAGCCTAGCACAAATATTTTATATAAAAATATGTTTCCTCAACTGATATGAATTCAGTTTTATTTTCAAGAATACAAGAAAGATATATATCAAGAACTTTGCGCAAATATTATCTCCAAAATCCCAGAGGAAATATTATATGAAAAATGCTTTATAAATGCTCGTAAATACTCGTAAATGCTCGTAAATACTCGTAAATGCTCGTAAATACTCGTAAATGCTCGTAAATGTTCGTAAATATTACGAGCATTTAAGTGTAATGAGCAGCACGTGGAGCGCAGAGAACCATTAGCAGGGAATCTAATTCCTTATGATCAATAATATACTTACTATAATTATGATCAATAATATATGATCAATAATATACTTACTAATCTCTCTCATCTCATTTTTTTCTTGTAATGTATCTGTTATCATTTTATTAATTCTGCTAGAATTTACTTACTTAAAATTATCTGTTAGATTAAGGACCTGTCCGAAACGCTGCGCGTACTAGTGGCTTTACAAGATTGTAAATACTATGCTATGTATTCTCTCAAACCCAATGTACCTTCTTGTATATAAATAAATAAATAAATAAATAAATAAATCAACAACCCCGTTTACGCCGCTTGACAAAGCTTTACGACTCAAGTCACTTATAACTCCGGTGTAAAAACTGCAGTTTCTAAACTCTGTAAATAACATTACTTACAGATATATTTAGTGAAGTTACAAGGATGATATATGAGGATGGTGGGTAGGAGAGGGATTAAGGGGGAGGGGGTGAGTGGGAGGGATTAGGGTGGAAGGAGGTGAAGCGGAGGGATTAGTGAGGGATTGGGGGGAGATTGGAATATATGTTGGGAAACGCAGGTGTTTAATACAGCTTTTAAGAGAGAAGTTGAGAGTTTAAAGAGCGAGACGAGCACAGGTTGGCGTTGCTCAGTAACATTGGCACTCAATGGCATTACTCACGGCCCACACGAGGTTCTGAAGACCTGGGGTGACGGTAGGGGTGAGTGTGGCGGGGGGAGGGGCGCCAGGAGCCCCCAGCGAGCACTTCACCCCCACCTGCGCACTCCCGCTGGTGCAGAAAGTCACTGCGCCGGCCCTGTTGGCCACCGCTGCGCACTGGCTCGTCCAAGACAACCGGCAAGAGAGCAGAGGAATTCCAAGAGTGGTGAGATTTTGCACATAATGTTATAATGCACGATTAAGCAACTATCGTCTTATGCGTCTGTTTACATTAGCGTTGTATGCGTGTGTATACAAGCATGGTGAAGGACGCACACGGCCGGTGTGGACAATCAGTGGGAGTATCTTCCCACTCTCCTGTCTCCCCATCACCCACACGGGTGACAGTGGCCAGAATATAATGCCTGTCGCAGACGCGGGCTTTTCGGAGAAGAGCCAAATGTAGGGTCTGCGCTATGGTCATTACTTCATCTGAGAGAAAAGAGGGGGAAGGGGGTTCTGCCTCACCTGCCTGGGTGGGGTACTTAAGTCTAAGGGGGGTAGAAATAGCCTAAGCTACTCTATCCCTTTGAGATGTATTTTTTTTCTTGTCTCAATAAACTTACTTGAACTTGAACTTAAGTCTTCTTGTCCAGTCTGCTAAGTTTTACGCGTTCACGTACCATAGCCCGTGCTACTTGGAACTTTTTGTTCCGAGTAGCTGAATAAAAAAAACTGTCAGGTTTGGATTCGCAGGTTACACAATGTTTCTTCGTGACACGCCCATGCACCAACCCCGAGGCTCCGCCTGAACCGTGTATCCCACCTTACTATTATCTCTCTCCTGGTCTTCACTTACTTCAAACCTACACTTCCTTAGCTGGGCCCGCGCCCTTTCGTAAGTCTCCTCTGCTTTACTTTCCACCGAGTCTCCTTTTGGACAACTAATTGGCAACTCCTATTTTATTCTTCAAGCCTAAATTCATTCACGAAGTTGGTTCTCATTTTCCTCCAGTTATTCAACGTTTGTTTCACTATATTTCCTACTGCTTATCACAGTAATGTGAAGTTCAATAATTATTTATGTCAATCATTTGGACAACTATTTGCTTCAACGTTATGTAACATGAAATGTTAAAACAATAATAAAATTATTTAAAAACCTCAATCCGAATTTTGCTCATACATCAGAATAAAGATATAACTCAACAACGCTTCACATGATAAAGGCGGCTTAGTCGAGAAGAATATGTGGCTTTCCATCTCAATAAGTCTTAGAATTCGCTAGAAAAATAGTTTAATGGATCATACTTCAGTCAGGGCGAGGAAATTTAAAAAGCTTTTGATAATAGTGAGAGACGCAAGTAGTCCACGGCACGACAATGGTGTATCCTGAGCCATGATCATTCTTAACCACGCATCAATATTCACGATACATTAAAACTTTGAAGTGCTCGGTGCATCAATTTGGTGGGAGTTGTGCCCGTGCTCTTTGCCCTCCCCTCTCCCCCGCTGAGGTTAAGCTTAACCCTACCCCCAGCTCTAAGCTTAGCCCTACCCCCAGCTCTAAGTTTAGCCCTAGCCCCAGCTCTAAGCTTAGCCCTACCCCCAGCTCTAAGTTTAGCCCTACCCCCAGCTCTAAGCTTAGCCCTACCCCCAGCTCTAAGTTTAGCCCTACCCCCAGCTCTAAGCTTAGCCCTACCCTCAGCTCTAAGTTTAGCCCTACCCCCAGCTCTAAGCTTAGCCCTACCCCCCAGTGCTAAGCTTAACCTTAGCCCTACCTCATCTGGATAACCTGCCCCAGCTTGAGTGTGACGTGACCACGGAATCACAGAGGCAGGAATGCCAGATTGATCTACTTGTAGCCCAATAAAACAGATATGTATGTCGCTTCTTGCACAGAGGACGCCTCAGGGCTGTAATGTCAGCACACAGTTCCTCTCTTGTTTCCTTGATGCTTGGATATGCTTGGCCACTTCCTTCATAAGACGGGTCTTTTTTTATTATTATTTTCTACCACAGACGTGGCCAACATATATACATTTTCTTCTGTCCTCCATGGACAGGGTTAGAGATGTGTTAAACATATAGTTCAGGGATTTATTGAACAATCAACCACAGAAGGTGTGATTCGGTGCTTTTAAAATGCTAAGCTAACTTACATATGTAAATACATAGATACATAAATTTACGTATGCCCTACATAAAGTGTTCGATGTGTTTTTTACATAGTGTCATTGTGTATTTACAAAGGTGAAGTGTAATTCTGATCAGCTTCCATATATACTTTATGCACATACATACACACACACATACATACATATATACTCACACATGCATTCACATACATTTGTCTCTTTTACTCTGACAGGGTGAGATAGTTGATAGAGAAACTAGTGTGCAATTAAGCACTTAATCACTGAAGGTGATTAAAGTGCTTTTACAAGTTCAGGTTATATAGTTACATCACATACATACATTGTATAATTGATACATTACATGGTCAATCTTGGGTACAAGTCCAATCTTGGGTACAAGTCCAAAGTGTTCCAGTACTCATATAGTAATTACACAGTTCAGCATACCTTAGCCCAGGAGGGCGAAAGTCAGTCAATATGGGACATTCTACAATATAATGTTCAAGAGAGTGCATGTTTTCTCTTTCACAAAGTTGACACATTGTGTACTCGACATTTGGGTTTTGAGAAAGCTGCCAGATACGTCTATATCCCAGGCGTATTCTGGCCACTATAACATCACATTGCCGGGGCTGGACGGTAGAGCGACGGATTCGCTACTGCAGGGCGCCGTTCGATCCCTGACCGTCCAAGAGATTGGGCACCATTATTACTTCCTTCCGATCTATTCCAAATCCTTGATTAATGAAGATTACGTCACCCAAGAGGTGGCACGGGCATGAATAACCCGTAATCAAATCCTTTTCCTATATAGATATATAGGATACATAGTCAAATGCTATATAGCCATAACGGATGGCGCTTATTCCTTATAATTACCGTGCCTTGCGTACTTAATCTAACCCAACTTAACCCAACACAGCTTTCCAATCTAACAACTAACATATTCTAACCCCTAACCTAACCGCACCCAACCAAAATTCAGCCTAGCCTAACCTAATTTAGCTCATTCAAACCTAACCTAATTCAACTCATACTTAACCTAACCAAATACTGTAACCAAACCTAGCCGAGACTAACCTTACTCAACCCATGTGGGGAAAATGACTCGTGGGTGTTATATTTAGTTTATATTAATATATATAGTAATTTATGTTTTACTTTAATTTATATTTTTCGATTGCACACTGTATGATGTTTAAAGTGGACTGTATGATTTAAAATTTCCCACAAATCGCTTTCCTACACATTCTGGAAGGTTTATGATTTATATATATATATATATATATATATATATATATATATATATATATATATATATATATATATATATATATATATATATATAGTTATCAATATAAATTATTGATTAGTAGACATTTAGTATAGTATTAAACTACATATATTAGTAACTGAAATTAAATACAACTCATCTGTATGAATGATGCCTAGACAACCAGACATGAACATATTGAAACAAGCCTAGTCAATTCTCCTCTTGGGTGAGAATCACATGCACTAGTTACTAGGTAACTAGTGTTAATTCTTCTTCCACTTCAATTACACCTGTCAAATGGCACTCACAATAATAGCAGTAATCCTAAATATGACAGCTATATCAGGGGGAAATATTGGCAATTTAAATAAAGAGATGTGAATATTGTTCACCCTATACGAGGAGTCACAATAACGTGGCTGAAATATGTTGACCAAACCACACACTAGAAAGTGAAGGGACGACGACGTTTCGGTCCGTCCTGGACCACAATCGACTTGAGAATGGTCCAGGACGGACCGAAACGTCGTCGTCCCTTCACTTTCTAGTGTGTGGTCTGGTCTACTTACACTACTGGTCAGGAATGCATAAGATTTATAACGGGTTTCGGCTAGAACACTTCCCCTATAGTAGACGTAAATCATGTTGATAATGGGAGCTTTGAACCCCATGACACTTGTGTCCAAGGAAAATTAATGGAGCTAGATTTGCCCCAGCGAGATTTGTATTGTTTTAAGTGACATATGGCAATGATATCCCCGTTTTCTTCAGAGGAAAATTCCAGTGGCGCCACATTTTCTATGAGTTCATTTGTTTGTAGTAAATTAGGAGCAATGTTATCTGTCTATTGTATTAAAAGTTGGTAAAAGGTGTTGGTTTTCCGATAACCCATACCTAACCAAATCAAAACTACCTCAATCGATCCTAAGTCAATCTAACCCAACCTAACCTAGTCATATATCTTAACACAATGAAACCAATACAACTTAACTTGATCCAACTCAACCCATAACTAACCTAACCCAACTTAACACAGCCAAACCCATCTGAAACTAACCAAATAATCTAACATTGCATAACAAAACCCAACTTAACCTAACCTAACTCATCGCATACCCAATCACGCAACTGGGCCTAGCCTAGCAATAAATACAATTAAAACATTTATAAAACGAGTTGTATGTACGAAAAGCTTAAGTATGGCTTAACCGGAACCCAGTTCATGGTTACCAACATGTCCAAAACTATGGTCAGTAAGTATGCAATGACAGGACCAATTGTGTGCAACTAAATTAGCTCGAGTTACGTCCAATAAATGGAAAATCTGATTTTAATATATTTATATCGTGTGAGCACCGAGCAAACACCATAGACTCTAGTATACACCGTAGACCACAGTATACACGGTAGACCAATAGTTCTCATTCAGGGTTCCGTGGACCATTAGTTTTCTACGACCCCGTGTCAGAATGTCCGCAAGAATTTGCACAAATAAAAAAATTCAAGTTGTCACCTTTTTCTGTACTTGACTAAAACTCTTTAAATGATTCAAGTTTAACGTGATCTCTCAATATCGTGAACGTGAACGACGCATATTGAAAGTCTGAGTAGATAGATATTCGCTCGATAGTTGCTATTAGTTCTATTTAGGCTACAGTGATGAGAGCGTTTACTGCTCGGCCAGAAAGCTATGCACATATTGTCACAATTCTCAAGGTGATACTTGTGTGTGTCCAACCACTTTCGTGTTTAACGAATATAAACTCCAAATATAGGAATAGATTGCCATCTATTAAACGTTGTTGATGTTGCCCGAATCGCTAGGCTTTAGGTATTGTATGTACTAGCTCTATCTTTCAAACCAACATTATGTTTGTAACTCATCTTCTCTAAATCTAAATCTAAAATCTGTGGAAGAAGAACTTGATGTGCGCCTGTCACAGATGCCACCACGAATGCTGTGATAAAATACCAAGCCAAAGTCTCACATTAAATTAGCAGATTATCACAATAATTGTTATTTTTATTGAAACCTTATTTTCATGTGTGAATGTATTATAAAGCAAAATATTATTTGCTTTTTCACTAGCAACTTATATAAAATAATTATACTAAAAAAATGACAAAATATGTTCATAGTGTTTGTAATAGTAACTCAAAAGTAACGTGAAAATGTGCAAATTTAAATTAACAGTAATTAGTAAAAGGGAATAAGCAATAAATACTGATAATATTTTATTCAAAAGTACGAGTTAATGATTTTGGGTTGTTTTAGATTCGGCCATTGGGAACAAAATGTTCCAAGTAGCACGGGCTATGGTGAGCCCGTAGTGGACTTACCTGGCACAGGAGCGGGACTGTGACAATGTTATTTTGGGGCTATCACAGACTCCTATGACAATGAACAACCAGCTCACACATCAGATCCCACTTCATTGGACTCATGTCGGTAAGTGGTGGTGTATCTGCTTTATCTGCGGACTTGTGGTGTTATCCTATCGTGTAGATCCACTACATTATCATCCTCAAGTCCCGCTACACCATTATATATATATCACTCATTCTTAAATTAGATTTATCCCAATTTAGTCAGTGTTTGTCGTAAATATATGATAGCTTTAGTGATGTTGGTCATTCTTAAATTGTATTTCGTGACAAATAAGTTTATAATTCCGGAAGTAGGAGTGGTCAGCGATAAGTTTATTTAGTTGAGGAGGCATTTGTGTGTTAGGTTCTGGTGATGACGACGAACTATCCAGTACATTGGTCTGGATGTCTCGACAGGTCTGAAACATGTTAAAGTCGACTTTAGGTCTGGTCTGGTCGATCTTGGAAATACTTATGCTAAAGTAAAATCAGGAACAATGGTCTTAGTGCTGCTGGAGACCTGATGTTCACGTCGACACTCCAGCGATGGTCTTAGTGCTGCTGGAGACCTGATGTTCACGTCGACACTCCAGCGATGGTCTTGGTGCTGCTGGAGACCTGATGTTCACGTCGACACTCCAGCGATGGTCTTGGTGCTGCTGGAGACCTGATGTTCACGTCGACACTCCAGCAATGGTCTTGGTGCTGCTGGAGACCTGATGTTCACGTCGACACTCCAGCAATGGTCTTGGTGCTGCTGGAGACCTGATGTTCACGTCGACACTCCAGCAATGGTCTTGGTGCTGCTGGAGACCTCGAGTACTCGTGTGGAAGAACTATCTGGATAGAACTGCCGCTGTTGGAGGCCTGGAACACTAGCTCATATTAAAGTAAAGCCTCTACTTTTGGACAGAACGCTCCTCGAAGCCTTGGATACTCATATGCAAGTGGAATTATGAGCGATGCTCGACGTCTGGAACATGTTAAAGCAGAGTCCCGAGTGCTGACTTTGCCGCTTTAGCCGGCCTGGAAGAATTGTTGAAATGAAGACTCCTGAGGAAGTCTGGATGTCGCCGAAGTCCTGGAAATCTTGTAAAATGGCAGACGTCCCATAAGTTACTGTACGGCGGTATTCCAAATTTTTATCGAGCATCCGTTGATACCTCTGCTCGAATATTATTTATATATATTTAAATATAAGAAAGTACAATGGTATATTTATAGCAGTTTTGGAGGCCATGATACAGTCTCACAAAGCCATTTACGTCCATGAGCATCGAATGGTTGTCACATGCACTAGGTATACTTTATTTGAATTCGAATTACATTTGTTGTAAACAAAATAAAAACGTAAGATATCAAAAGCTACAAATTACAACTTACGCAGACAACATTTCCATATGAACGCAGACAGTTTAAACAGACAGGAAATAATAAAGTAAAACAGAACAATATTAGGAGAGCAGCTGTCATTACCTGGACGACGGAGGTGACATAGTGGACGACAGAGATGTTGGCGGCGGGCAGCTGCACGTCAGTCCCCAGCAGGGTGAAGGTGGTGGTGGTGAACGGGTCAACCACGGCTGTCAACACCACCACCACCACCACACCCACCAAAAGCCTCCCTTGATGCTGCTGTTGAAATAATCCCATCAAACATCTGCGTGAATTATACCAGACAAGAACACTACTTCTTTAACCAAACCTATCTAAAAAGGTCTTTATTTAATTAAGACTAATTCAACACATTCAGGTTGCCAATCACTAAAATACATACATGGGTGAAGGGTCCCTATTTCATGTGTAAACAAATGCCAACGATCATAGATCCATCTGCCACTGCACTATTGGACCCAGGGTCGTAATAAGGTAGAGTCCGTGTAGGAAGGGGTGGGACAGGGGGCTTGCTTGCTGGGAGGGGCATTGAACAGCCGTGAACTTCTGATATTTATACAGTGCTCTCTGACTGTGCCTATGGCACCTCAAGCCTCAATGGCTCTATCTTGCACTTCCTACCATATCGATCACTCCAATATCTTGTTATTTTACTGTGCAAATTTGGGGCCTGGCCTTCCAGTATCTTCCATGTGTATACTATGTGATACCTCTCTCTTCTCCTCTCTGGAGAGCATATTTTGAGAGCTTTGTGACATTCACGTGTCATTATATACGTGAACCCTTGACATTCACGTGTCATTATATACGTGAACCCTTGACATTCACGTGTCATTATATACGTGAACCCTTGACATTCACGTGTCATTATATACGTGAACCCTTGACATTCACGTGTCATTATATACGTGAACCCTTGACATTCACGTGTCATTATATACGTGAACCCTTGACATTCACGTGTCATTATATACGTGAACCCTTGACATTCACGTGTCATTATATACGTGAACCCTTGACATTCACGTGTCATTATATACGTGAACCCTTGACATTCACGTGTCATTATATACGTGAACCCTTGACATTCACGTGTCATTATATACGTGAACCCTTGACATTCACGTGTCATTATATACGTGAACCCTTGACATTCATGCGTCATGATCCCATGACATGATCTGCCATTGTGTGAGCCCATGACACATGTGCCATGATATATGTGAGCCCATGACACGTGTGTCATGATATAGGTGATCCCATGGCTTTGATGTTAGAAGACTTAACTTATACGATACAAGAATTTCTTTCGCTATAATAAATCAGTGATGCGAGTGGTCAATATTCACGAAACAACTTTCGACTCCCTCAGTAAATTTATAGCCTAACACAAAGTCGAGGATTTTATAGACTGAAATTATTAATGACACGCATAAATAATATTATTATTATACCTAGAAGTCACACACACAATTAACGTTAAAAAGGTAGAGAGAGGCGAGAATATGCCTGCAACACACCATTATCTCTCCTAAGCTTTTGTTCAACGATGCTGGAAAAGTTGTAAAATAATTCGTTTGAAACGCAAACATGGGCAGACGATGCATCACTCACCTGCACCATCTTTACTGTAGCAAAATGTAATGGTACCAACGGCCGCCTTGCTGTTACCCGCGGGCCGGCGCGAGGCTCCGTTCAGGTAATGATTGCCTACCTCAAGCGATAATGTACTTGGGTCATGAGAGTAGAGGAAGTCTGGTGTTACCCTGGTGAGAGCCACGACGCTACTGACATGGTCATCAACACACCACTCGCATATCCACTCCTGCGCATGGTTAATGCGCAGGAGTCGCTACTGTCGTTAAGAGATAACGTTTGGCTTCTGCGTGAGCGATAAAATTATACATGAACTGTATTTATCTTAATTGCATTGCTAGAAAAATGTATTTTGGCGAAGCACGGTGTGTTTACGATTTTCACACACACATTAGAGGGCAAACTCTATCGCGTAAAGATAGAGGGCTTCGCGTAAACTGAATTCCTTCTGTCGACGCGAACTTAGTTTTAACTTAGAGCAGCTCTCTGTGGTTAGTGGTTCGCGCCCTCACCTGAGTAACCCATCAAAATGTGTTTCTACACCATAGTGCTCGGATTATTTTAGTTTTTCTCTAAGTGGATACTTACGCAGCCTTCCAGCGCGGATATACTTGCTGAAGCTTCTGTTTTTGGGATATTTGCTTAGTGCTATAAATGGAGTGTTGTGCCTTGCGATCCTGTGTGATGGGATTTTTTGTTAGCATCACCTAGTTAGCTTTTTTGACACACTGTACTCCACTTCATATAGTCTAGAGTAGCTGCACTAATGCAGATGTACCTCATGTATTAATAATAATAAATAAAGCCCTGTGAGGTGATGAGATGTTCCGTTGTTCAAGCACAGAGCTTAAGGAAGCTCTCTTAAGCTCTCTCTTGAGCACTCTTAAGAATGGAAATTAGCTTCCTTATCCAAGGTGTGGCGCCAGAGGTGGACAACATCAGCGTGACCCAGGAAGACGTCGGCGAGTGGAAAATCGTCAAAAATAAAAACTTGAAGTTTACAGTGAAGAAATTTGTCAATCCTTTTATTGAGATTTGAAATTCCTATGCTGCGTTAGAGGCTTAGTGGACCTTGAGGTGGTTACCTTGAGGTGCTTCCGGGGCTCAGCGTCCCCGCGGCCTAGTCGTCGACCAGGCCTCCTGAAGGAAGCAGGCAGCGTGGAGGTGATAATTCGATCTCCAAGTAGGAAATCGTAAGTAAATATGAGAGAGACAAATTTAGTGAATTTGCCCGGGGGACAGAAAATAGTAAAGATGAATGTCGCAGCAAAGATAGTGGGAGATTTTTTCATTGTAATTGATTCACAGGAGTAATTATATGGATTAGGCCCTTCTGCTACTGTGGTTTAAGAAATAGTATTATAGAAAATTGTCAGGGTGCAAGGGAGGGTGACAGTGGATAGACTTGCCTGTATTGTCAGACAATTGTCTGACAATAGTACTGAGAGGCTCATTGTCAGCCTCTCAGTAGATGGAGAAATAAATGCCGAGATAGGAGTGAGGAGTTGTTGAGCAAATATAAAGTAGCGCTGGAGATGATTAAGAATAAGAGGGGGAGGGAGGACAGGGTCCTTAGGTTAAGATTAGACAGAATGGCAAGGTGTGTGAGGAACTCAATAAGAGACTCTAGATCTTCACAAAGAGAGCAATGGAAAATACCTGAATTGAAGAAGAAGGCGTTAACCAAGCAGCTCTGGTGGAGGAATTTGAGCTTACATAAATGAGGTAATGAGTCATCTTTTGGAACTAGACACAGTGAAGGCTGGCAGACCATATGAATCGTCCCATGGATACTGAAAGAGGGAGCAGAAGCACTATGCTTGCCACTTTCTATGGCGCCACTGGAAATTGGAGAACTACCATAAAGTTGAAAGACAGCTGGGGGATAAACAGGAGATATTGAACTGCAGACCAGTGCCCTTGTGATGGGCGAGATCTCAGTGTTGCGAAATACAACCAACAGTCCCACATGATCGGTACTCGGACCTATACTGTTTCTAATATATGCAAATGATCTTTCATAAGGCATAGACTCGGGCCCAATGATACCAGCCACGACAAGGAAGATCTCATCGAGATTTCACAAACAGAACAAATTAGAAGACAATATTTACATTTAAAAAGGTTCATTTTAACTCCAATAACCACATTTGAAAAGGTCCAATGTAACACCAATGACAACATAAAAAGGTTCAATGTAACTCATACAAGGGGCCGGCAACAGCTACAAGCTTAACAATGCACAATGAAGGACATATGTATATAATACATTTTTATTTCACCCATAGGATATTATACTTGTAGTGGCTACAGTAGGGGCGCGTATCCCCTGGGCCATAACCAGACCAAACAACACGTGGGCTTCTTTACGACTTTTAAAATACTGAACAAGTTGGAGGATATTAATCCTGACTACTTCTTTATAAGATAAAATAGAACACATACAAGGAGGCAACAGCTTTAAGCTTAAAAAAATCACAATGTATGAGAGAAAACAGGTGATGGTTTTTTATTTTATTTATATATTTTTTATTTATTTACTTATTTATATATACAAGAGTTCTTATATTCTTGTAAAGCCACTAGCACACATAGCGTTTCGGGCAGGTCCTTAATCCTAATTTATCCCGGAAAACGACTCGCCAAATAGTTTACCAGGTATCCATTCATTGCTGGGTGAACAGAGGCTACAGTTAAGGATTGGTGCCCGGTCAATCTTTACCAGCCAGGATACGAACCCAAGCCAAAGCGCTCGCGAAGCGCCGGGCGAGTGTCTTACCACTGAGCCATGGGTACTCAAGTTCAAGTATGTTTATTGAGATAACAAAAAATACATCTCAAAGGGATATAATAGCTTAGGCTATTTCTACCCCCCTTGCCATGGGTACTGTTAAACACGTGCGCAGACGGAATTCAATGTTTTTTTCACCCATAGGGTTTTAAACCCATTGAATCGTCTACCTGCCAAAGCCGTAAACTGCAGATTAAAATCCAATCAGAAAAAATCCTCTGAAACAACAAGGCTACTTTTGAAAAGTCGCCGGTTTTCTGTCCTTATGATACTATGTCACTTTCACTGTCAGAGCACATGCTCTGAGTAATAAATATTGTAGATACCCCTTTAAATATGAATTTTCTTATAAAAACGTAACATAGAAAATGTACTCTTGGATAACTAATATATTATAAAATATTTTGCCTACGTTACATAGAGAAATACTAATCTGCCCCAAGCATAAAATAGATTGAATAAAAAAGGCGGAACTTATGTACACAAAGACACTTAGAATATGTTGATCAAAGAAGGTAGGAATGTAGACGAGTTGAAGCCAAGGTAAGACAATTATCAGCAAAACGCATTAACCCCAATATAACTAGCATGGAGATTTTTTTTTTTTTTTAATATCTACCATAGACACCGTCATTCATTTGAAGTGCTAAACAGGACATACATATTTTCCTGTGTCCTCTATAAACACGATAATAATATAACTAATTACTACTCTTTTTTCTGCTTGGTCTTGAAAGAAGCCGGCCTCGGGTGAAATTGGGCTGTGACGATCTCTGTCTGGAACCCGTAGATACAGGACTCGGAAGTCCACCTCCTGGGGCTCGTGCAGCCCCCAGGCTCTGCTTCAGGAAGCTGGGGTCGTTCTTGCCCTTGATGGGGTGGTTCTTCTCCGGCCCTGGAGAAGTTGGTTTGGAGTCCCTGTACCTTCTTTTACCAACTTCGAGGTTAACTCCGGAGCTGGAGCCCTTAGGGCAGTTCAATGTTGCCTTCAACCTTGGTCTGACAGTTCCTGCGACGGCGCTGGAACCAATTGTATTGACTCTTGCCTTGCCATTGGAGACCTTCGGTGCCATGGAGAGGGGGGGACCTGCTGCATGGGTAACAGCTTCACCCCCCGTATCAACCTACCCTGGCTTTGCGCCCTGGTGAGGCCACTCCAGACCGACAACCAGAGCGCAACTCCATAGTCTCCTGAGACTGATGGATGTCTACTACTTGTTATGTACAATAAGCCAGTGACTGAACCTCCCAGGGACCCAACCCTCTATGGTGTGTTACTGGTGTGTTAGGCTGCATACAGCAGGTGATGGAAGTGGTTAACAGGCATGAATATCTTGACGAGTGATCTACATAGTCACGGATGGAGATCAGTTCCACTACATATAAATAAATAAATTCCACTAAAATAAATAAAATCCACTAAATAAATAAAAATAAATAAATAAATATACTGCAGTGGGCGGTGATCCACTAAACCACACAATGTAATTAACTCCCTGGTACCTGTCCACTACAAGATAAAGAGAGTCATCAGGTGAAAGGAAAGGTGGCACAAACGCTTCCGTCTGGCAAGGGCAATGAACTCGAGACTACGTTATTAACTCTAAGTAACCAATTTTCCTCACCACTTCTCATCTTTCACGTCAACATGTATCATGCTGTTACTGTAAACTTCAAATAATAAATTACCATAATATACTGTTACTAAATACTGCTGTTTCTAAATTTCATAAAAAATATATATTTTTACTCAATCTCACCCACAGTTATAAAATGAGTTACTATGTGTTGTTAATACAATGGCTGTTGATAAATGTCATTTATATAATCTTCCACAAATTCATAAATGTTGCAATATCTTATTTAATACATATATCAATCACAGTAACGTGATAGCTGTCAATGATAAGATAAATTGGAGCACTGAGGTGCCTCGAACCAGGGATCAGAATATTTCCAACATGGACTAGCTTCAGGAGCCTCCACACTTCCTGTGGATTCAGTGGCATCCCAAGTTATATAACCTATAACCACGACGTGGTACGGAAGGGGGGGGGGGGGTATTGTAAGGGGCGCGGCTGGGGTTCGACTCGCTGGTTCAAGTCACCTCAATGTTCCAGTTGATTTCCGGCCCCTTCATTTAATATTAAGTATTACCCAATAATACATGCTCATTTCCTCCATGAGGTTTCCCGTTTTTTTCTGTTACAACATTTCCTGTTTTTTTTACGTTATGCTCTCCTTAAAAGCTGTATATCATTGGCTAAATGTGTTGATCAACGTATATATTAACTTCTTGTTTAGTATTAGGAGTCTCCCTCGTCAAACCTTTAAAAAACCTAACTTAATTCTTGTAAGTTATGCCCGAAACGTTTTGCCTACTGCTAACCTTATTACAGCAACCCGTCCTCTTAAAAATAACGTCACTTTTCGCTCGTATGCGCGCTATGGCCAAATTTGGACGTAATTTGAAATGAAATCGACTCACAAAAGTGACGTACTGTTCCGTTTTCTGATCGAGTCGTCCGGCTTACTCGGCAAGCTTAGAAAAGGAAACTTTCCATTAACGTTGTCGGAAAATCCGACACCATTTAATATATCATACAGATAATAGCTGTATTACCAACAAGTTACCCATAGAAAACGTAACTTGTAGTGGAATTACCGTCTATAGAAAACGGGATATCATCACCACATACTATTATAATTCATCAGCTATTCTGCTGGGAATTATTCTTAAATACATTAGTCTTTGGACTTTACCATCATAAAAACATCTTATATAAAATAACTTAATTATCAATATTAAAGTAGAGTAAATGTAACCCTTCTATCACTTTCTGAAATCTGGACAAAGTAGGCCAGGCGTCAGTGGGGAAGGAGGGCAGCCATTGTTGTGTCACCTCCGAGACGTGTGGAGCAAATTTGGCTCCTATCATTCTGGACAATGTCGGCCAGACGTCAATAGAATGGAGTGTTAAACAGCCATTGTTGTGTATTGAGACCAGAGGCTCACACGGGAGCAAATTCGGCTCCTGTTAAATTTACTTGGACGTAGTGTTATGGAAACCAAAGGTGTACCATTTTTCAACACGCTGTCTACATATCAAGTTAAGTGTTCTTTCCGAAACCCATTATCTATCATTAGTGGCCATTAATGTCATTATATAGGGTGACCCGGTTAGAACGCGAAATCGCCTCATACTAAAGGTAATTAAGCCAGGTCTTTAATGTTCCATGTACTGTATAGTGTTTTCTCTGATATAACTTGTCATATATAGGATTCTGGCTTCACAGTTAGCGCCCTTTTGACAGGTCAAGACGAGGAAGAGTTTGTGCACCAGTTACTGGGTGATATGGAAGCTACCTCAAAGAGGATAATTTGGTGTCTACACCCTAGTTATACCTGGTGGACTAACCTGCTGTACTATAAGATAAGGAACCTCATCAATGTATGTAGCTATTACTGTAGTTTGATTGGCTGCATATATATTAATTTAATAACCCCCCCCTAATGTGTAGAGGATCGATTTGTGAGATTATGAGATTATTGCAGAAATACAGTCCACTCATTATTATACAAATTGCTATCGAAGTATATAAATTAACGTAAATATAAATTCATATAAATTAAATAAATATAAATCTCACAGGTCGGTTCCCACAAACGTTTTTCATAACGTTCTGAAACTTTATGAGAATTTCCTGCCCACCTAACCTACCAGAGGACCCTTAACTTACTGTTGTTGAAAAAAAAATCCCAAATTTATTTTCAATTTTTTTTAATTTTCAAATTACGTCCATATTCGGCCATACGGGCAAACGGCCGAAAGGGACGTTCTTTTTAAGAGGACAAGTTCAACAGATACATGTTTTGTAAAAATTATTAACACTATAATATTCATTTGTATCATTTTAAAATAAAATTATTATTACTGTTATTGAGGAAATCAGTAGGAGCCATGAGATGGATTCGAACCCGCTCACTTGGTACTCGCAAGCTAACCCCCTAGACCACAACACCCTGACATGGCAAAAAACAATGCAACCTGAGGTTCTACTGAACCCTCTAGGGTTTCTGAGGCTTACAACTGAAGCCCAATCCGGGAGTTTGGGAGTACGAAGTGAGCGGGCTAGACGTGTCTGACAATCCTATATCTATCAGCCTCCAGTTGGGTGATTAACTTAGCGAAATTCATGGTCAATCTGGGTTCAGGAAAATAAAACACAAGAATGATTACATGAAGTATTATATGATGCAACATTTCGTTCCTTCCTGGAACAACTTCAGGTGAGATAAGATGCTCAACATGAAGGGTAAAGATAACACTCTGGTATGGGTGAGGTCGAGGCTCTATGAGTCAAGCCGAGGCTCTATGAGTCAACCCGAGGATCTATGTGTCTAGTAGAGGCGCTCAAGTGCCTGGGAATGGGCGGGGATTTCCTCCGCTTTGACGTCATATTCTATTGGCTGGGGGTCTTGGCCTCAGTCTTGGTAGTGAGGCCAAGCCGTTGTTTTCTATGTTTACATTAGATCTTTACTGTAAATCGTCGACCATTCTCATTGACTAGAGAATGGTCCAGGACGGACCGAAACGTCGTTGTCCCTTCACTTTCTAGTGTGTGGTGTGGTATTGGTTGGGCACTATTCCTTCCCCCCGTCCTATCCCAAATCCTTATCCTGACCCCTTCCCAGTGGTATAAAGTCGGAATGGCTTGACGCTTTCTCCTGATAAACAAAAATTGTATTGGGTGCTCATGATGGATATATAAAATAGATAGATGTGGGCGTCCGCTGGTGTGGAGGAGTTAGTGTTGTATCTTATATCAAGGTACTTCCTAATGTAGGTGTTCACATCTGTGTTAGTGTATCCATAGTGTACTGGGACTTGCAGACCTCTCTCAAACTCTTTGCGCATCGCGACCCAGTTTGTTCAGTGGGCGAGAGTTCTACGTATGTCTTTCATCACACTTGTTTTGTATCGGTAGCGGCACTCAGGCCATCCACACACATATACCTTTCTTTGTTGGTTTCGTGTAGACTTTAGTGGTAATGGAAGCGACTCTAGCCGTCGAAGACTGGGAGTGCCCCGTCGATACAAAGTTCAGGTGGGAACTGGAGTACTGAAGGACTCGGTAAGCGATCCCTTAATCTTTTCAAGCTCTTGAAGATTCTTGGCACAGATGAAAATGTCATCAACATCCCTGCAATAGATCTGGGGTTTGTTCTGTCCTAAAGATCCTCTCTTCCAGGTAGCCCATATGGAAATTAGGGAACAGGACGCCTAATAGACAACCACTACTAATAGACAGCTACTCTGTCGATTTGCAACCCGTTCTCGCACTTCCTTACAGTCAGTATTGGCTTATTAATAAGTGCATATGTGACATACTAATTGATTGTGAATATTTTAGTTTACGTTGAAAAGCTTCATAGAAAACACCGACCTCACCTAACCTTCTTAGTATGTTAAGATAAGCATCTTAGTGCTTCTTATTTACAATTATTACTTAACCTATCAACGGTATAGGTTAAGTAATAGTTGTAATTAAGAAGCAATAAGATGCTTATCTTAACATACTAAGAAGGTTAGGTGAGGTCGGTGTTTTCTATGAAGCGTTTCAACGTAAACTAAAATATTCACAATCAATTAGTATGTCACATATGCACTTATTAAATAAGCCAATATTGACTGAAGCAAGTGCGAGAACGGGTTGCGATTTGTGTGTACATGTCTCCCCCAGGGGTGGTGAAAGGGGTATATCTTTGCCCACGTCTCCTGAAGGCTCCCTTACGGGCTATTCATGCCCGTGCCACCTTTTGGGTGGCTTAATCTTTAT